CAACTGGAAATTGGATAGATAGGTGACAGAAGACAAGAAAACATGCGATTGAACCCAAAGCATAAACTCACAGGCCTCTAGACGGCAAAGCCCTTTTGCATGAAGCAAACTGGAAGCAAAAACAAATGGTCTCGCAACTTGCAAGCCTCGTACTAGAGTCAGCTCATTCCACCACCATCTCAGCACACCTCTCTCGCTTCCTCCCGCCGGAACGTCACAGTGAGAAGGGGCCTAGAAGAGGCTTCAGCACCCCCTCCCCTCCTCCTTGAACCAATAACCGTGACGGGATGAGAAAGATTGCATGATCCCCGGGTACAGGTACCTACCCGCCGCACAGTAATGCCCGATCATAAACCCATGTACCGAGGTACCTACGTAATCATGCAATGGGAAAGGAAAGCCCAGCAGCCCCGGAGGACTCCGCCCAATCACCACACGATTCCCCGTCCCCGCAAGACCCGCTTCAGCAAATCACAAGTCAAAGATCCAATCATCCCCGGTCAACAACCTCCAGATTGTCACCGTACGGTTGTCCTCGGTATCCTTTTCCTGGACTTCCCTCTCCTCCTGAAATGCTTGCTCCCCGGATTTTGCCATTAGCGCATATGCTTTTTTCCTTTGCGCGCATTCCACCTCCAATTGCTTGCGAGTCTTTTTTGCCCGTCCGTCCGTGTCACTGGCTACCTACTTAGCTTAGGGGAAAAACCTCTTCCTCCTGCTGCTGCCGACGCCTCCTCAACAAGCTTTTGCTGCAAGCTGCTTTTCCCCCAACCCTTTTCCTTCTTAAAGACCTGAAGCGAAACCACCCGAACTCACATCCCCTTCCCCGTGTGCATGCCTGCCAGCTCTACCATCTACTTACCTGTCGAACCAAACTCACTATAATTCTTAACCCTTGCTCTACATTTGCTTCCCTCGCTTATCAATTGTCGTCCTTATCCCCCGGGCCGTCTAGACTTACCTTACCATATAATAACAAGTCTCGAGAGGGAAAAAGCAAAAAAAAAAAAAAAAAAAAAAAAAAAAGGGTAACAATGGAGGAGGCATATAAGCAATACGCGAACCAAGCGCGTCGCAAGAACCGCTCCAGCACAAACCTCAACCACCTCTCCCTCGCCCCCTTCACCTCCCGCCTACCCCTCCAAGACGACGACGCCCTCCCCGACCACCTCACCTCGCCGCACCACAACACCTCCTACCTCGAGGGCAAATCCGCCCCGACGACGCCCGGCCTGCTCACCCGCTCGCCCGCCTCTCACGCCCGCCGGGCCTCCGTGCCGCACGCCGACCTCCCCAAGAGCAAATCAGCCACCCACCTGACGCCCTCCGCCGCCGACAGGAAATCTCGCAGCCGAAAGGCCGTCTCGGGCACCACCTCGCCCACGGTACGCCGCCGGAAAGATGACTTCTCGATCCGGGACCGGAATGATAGCGATTGGCTCCTCCGCACCGGCGCCCTCATCAGCAACGAGAACCGCGAATCAAAGGGCCAGGCATGGCTCGTCTCGAGACAGAGCTCCACGAGCCTGACAGGCATGCGGGACGCCGACGAGGAGGCTTTCGAAAGGGAATTGGCTCGCGAGCGGGAGCTCACCAGCAGACGGAGCAGCCGGCGCGGCAGCCTCGCCGATCTGGAGGGCGTAGCCTCCTACACCCATTCCGCCCGGCCCAGTCGTCCTGGAAGCCGGTCGGCGAGCAGAGTCGGCGGCACCCGGAGCCAGATGTTGACGCCGATGGAGCGCGAACGGCACTCTCTGGAAGAGGGTTACTTCCCCCGCCACCACGACGGCGAAGACTACATCCCCGGCCCGGATTTCGTCAACCTCGACGAGCAGCTCGAGTCATTCGACTTTGACACCACGCAAGATGACGAGGCCGCCGTCAGGAGGCTGGTCAAGGGCGAGAGGGCTGGCGGCGCCTCCTGGGTCGGGAATATCCTGGGATGGCCGCTCTTCGCTGTCGAGGAGAACGAGGAAGAGTCCGAAGACGACGACGACGACGACGTTGACGGGGACGAGTTCGAGGGTGAGGCTGACGAGGATGGTGGGGCGCATGGGCTCCACCGGTCGTGGTCAGCCCGGCATTTCGAGGGTGTTATCAGCGCCCCGGAAGAGAGAATTCCACCCCCAAAAGCAAACGAGGGTGGCTGGCAGGATGCGGCGTGGCTGCTCAGTGTGGCTACCAAGGTTTTGCTGTGAAGCGGGCAGAAAAGAAGGGGATTCAGCGAGAAAGAAGAAAGACGTATCGTTACCCCCGTGAGAAGAGAGAAAGAGAAAAAGATTGTGCCACCACCGCGAAGGCCCCGTCGTCGGACCGCTCGAGAACGGTGAAGTGGATATCACCGACCAGCCCTAGCAAAGACTGAAGCTTCACCGTTAGACTATTTGGGAACCCCGGCAGCCGAAAATCTGCAGGGTATATTTATTTGCTCCAACTGGGCCCCACGTTGCTTTCCTGCAGAATCCTTCGAAAACTTCGATATGCTGCGAGGAAGGAGGCGGCTCCTGTCTCCGTGTCTCGGCCTCAACAGTGTGGCTTTCTCGTACCCGTCACAGGCCCGTCACTTGTCAAATACTATTGTCTCGCTACCTACTGTTTCCCCCCAACCCTCGTATTTCGGCATCTGATTCTGTCGCGAAGCATTTCCCAATCATGGGGGATCGGCACTGCAAGATAAACGTCGGAATGCTGGCTCCCAGGGTTATATGAAGCACTTCCATCGTCTTAATAGCGTTATTGCTGCGAAGTACCTTACCATGTCCATTCATAATCCAAATCAAAATGATTTCCTTGATGGCCGTAGATCGGATCGATACTTGCCGTCCGTTCACACACAACCCGCACACCACGTGACATGTACGTGTCCATACACCGGTGACCGATGCGGGACCGGGCTATCGCCCCCGGTTCCGCCCATACTGACAGGAGCCCGCTGCGCTACCTATCTTGTCACCGACACCCAAAGCGTTGGCTGTTGTGTCGAAGGGGGGTGGGCGTCTAGAAGAATTAGAGAAAAAGCCTAAAACCAGCACAACGTCGCCCCATCCGGTCGGAATAGACCACCGCAAAGAGTGAGAGCGATCCGTCTGAACTATCGTCGCGAAAGGAACGCCCGCCCCTCTCTCCGCGAGCGATGGCGGCCGGCCAAGCCGGCGCGAGAGGGACCACTGGCCGCATAGTAGGACCAAAAAACCGGTTTTGGGAGTATTGCCTCGCGCTTGCATGCAGCAAGCTGGCGGGAACCTCGTGTTGTCTCTTGCAGATTGGCTTGAGGCGCGAGACGGTGTGAAAGGGCTATCGAACCGGGGTTTATGAGCTCTCGCACTTTACCACACCGCAAGCTGTGGTTGCAAACCGCACCCCTGGACCATTGTTTGCATCGTACTCTGGAAAGCGATGGCGATGCCCTTTCTTTCACGATTGCCTGTGCCTTCGTACGACTCTTAACAGCATGGCGCGGAAGTCTCAGATCTCACTCAGACGAATGACAAGTATTCGTGTGGAGTTCACTGCCGGGTGTATTACGGAGGGTTAAAAGACCAAAAGTCATTGGTTCCTCAATCGCGACCGAGATTTTGGTGTGGTGCTCCTTTCTAGACATTCTCCTTAACACGTCGTCTGATGAGAGACTGTTGCTCGTCACGTTGAAGTCTGAGTTGTCTTCACAAAGACTCCAACGTGAAAATGCGAATATCGTATAGAATGGCTCGTCATTCTGTCGATACCCTACGAGCTCAAGTACCGGGTATTAGCATGCGGTGTCCCTGTTGTGGTGGTGATCAAGCTTGCCAACCGTGATCGAATCTACAGCGGGGAAGGCGGATATACCGGCTATGAGTATGAGGCTATGAGCACCTCGGTCCTCAGCACAGTAGCTAGCTCCAAGATAATTTGACTGGCAATGTGAAAGATGTCACCGTGTATTGACCATTGGCCGTGCGATAGTCGGCTTCCCTCCACTCATGCGACGATCGAAGTTTTGATGGGAGGAGTCAGAGACTCAAGAGATTCTTACCAGTTCGGCCCTGTCCCCCGCCTCGAGGCCTGCCGTTTTGCCTGGCTTGGCGCATGCGTGACATCAAAGTTCAACCGATCCAATGATCAGATGGCTAGCCGAGTTGTAGCGGCTTGATGATCTCTTCCTTCCTGCAATTAATTGTCCAAGGGGTCTAGAAGGCGGAATGAGGGTGAAGTATCTTGGCCAGCAGCTGTCTCTGAGTGAAAGTGTTCCGAAAAAGGTTGGATCAAGTAGTGGTGGAGACGGGCATGAACAGAGGTCGTGGAGATGAAGTGGTATACGGATTTGCACTCACTTGCACCGACCGTCGAGGAAAGTGGATCTTCCGTAAAACACGGGATATTTCACTGGCGTTACGGTTCCGTACTGCCGGAGTCCAAAGTCTTCTGACACCTGCAACTCTTTTGTCTCTAGCAGAGCCTCAAAGCCGTATAATCAGCCCTAGTACGTCGCGAGGCGTAAATTTCCATAAAGAGTAGACACGAATCCACTGTCTCTGCACTAAAGCACAAATGCCGATATTTGGACTGCTGTAGTGTCTCGAAGGGGTGGTCATGAAAAGAGAGCTGTTGTCAGCGTTGGGCTGGTGATAGAGCGAGTGTCGTTGGCATAGACCCTGAACGGAGGGCGACGGACCAAAACGGAAACGTCGTCCACTCAATACACCCTGGTCCATGCAGGCTTTGCAGTGTAACCCACCGATGACGTTCAAGCGCGGTATGACGTCTGGCAGAAACCCAGCTCCAGCCCCCAGACCTGAGTGCATATGCAGATACTCCACCCTACCATTTAACCACATGAATGGATCCTGGTTAATACACTGAGTTGTGGTGGACGGGACCTTCTAAACCGGCCAAACAGATTAGGAAAATCCTTTTTCTTCCGCTGGAAAAAAAAGTACGCTAATGTGGAGCGTCAACTGTCGGCCGAGAGAGTCTAGCCTCTGTCGACCTGGATGTGTCCGAGATGATTCTGCAGCGGTGTGGGACCGTTGCTCACCGGGCTCCATGCCACCTTGTTGGCGGCGGGAGTGGTACTGACTGGATTGTCAGCATCGCTTTAGACTTGAATCAGGTACGGATCGTCAAAGTAGTTGAACGGGTATGGACCCTGCATTCCAACCTTCTCCCCACCTCTCGGCGCTCCTCTTAACGTGACCATTTTTATCAGAATTCGACGGCCGACATGGCATACGCCTTCAACCCTCCTGCCTTATTTGGGTCCTCCCATCGGTGTGGAGCGGTGAAAGTCTTCGTCGTGAAATCTGATGGTGGTGTTGAAAGTGTGTTATCATCGATTTTGCCACACCATCCATAATTTGGGGTCTTCTCGGCCGGCGTAACAGGAATTTCAAATTGTCCAAGGATCGTCACACCGGCTCCCTTCGCACAGCGGAAACATGACTGGATCCTCGTCAGCCGCGAGGTACGCAATGGACCGTGGGCAAGTCGGATCATCCGCTCAGAAGGAGAGAGTTGTGTGTTCGGGCGGTCAAAAACATGCCTTACCGGCGAGGGCTTGGATTGCCGGATGATACAAAGCTTTGCCTCTATGGTTGGTTTGCTGAAAGAGAGTGCTATGGTACCTGGCCTATAGTCGTAAGGACGTCGCTGGCAAAGGAATGTTAGTAGAGAACCGGCCCTGGCCAAAGATGTCCAACCCAGAATCCAAGTCATAAGCTACTGTTCAAACAGTCCGGCATGGCGGGTGTCGAATGAAGCCAGCGGGAGGTGCCGATCTCTACTTCTCCACGGAAATTAGAGGGTCGGGAGAGACCGCCTTAAACTTGCAAATGCAGGGCAGCGGTCTTGCATCGTCAAGGCGAAATAGCAACCGGCGGTGGTGTGCAAGGAATGGACTCGAGGAGGGGTAATCCGTGTTGATACTCGAGAGTCTTGTACTGTGGCACAGCGATTGGTAGATCCACAACCCATGACCGGTGGTTCTTGGTCTAGAAGCTTGTCGAGGCAAAGGGATGACAGCTGCTAGCGCGAGAAGTGCGTGTCCGTCAGGTCATGGCGCAGGATATTGTACGATAAAGCAGTGGCTCAAGGCTGAATATCGCGGCTGTCTGACACCCATGGAACCGAAGCAGGGCTGTCTCGTGACGTGTAGATGGAGGATATTCCCTTGTGTGGGAACGAAATCGAGGCATGGGTTGCAAAAAGGGTATTCGAGATCCATGGCAAGAAAACCAATGGTTTCAAGGAAGATAAGAGCGGAGGTCTTGCTAGAGGATGAATATTCCAAACCATGGTCTAATGGAGGAAATATGGTAGTGTATGTATGGGGACCGAGCTTGACCAGATGTCTTCCAGGGCAAGCCTTGGGTCGCGAGACGGGTTGGTATGAAAATCGTGGAAAAGCTTACCATGGAAGCTGCTCGGAACTGGACACGCATCGAAGCTCTTTTCATTGTGCGGTCCTCTCAAACGACCCAAGCAAAGTTCGGTAGAGAAGTTGGCGATTTCGTCGGTCTAACAATGCTCAGAGTGCTCTTTGTTCCTTTGGGGAAGGAGCGCCCCGTACGTAAGGGGATGCTTGCCGGGTGCCCGTTGGCTTGGAGGTTCTTCCCGGCAGGAGGTGGTCGCCCTGCAGATGTACCGCCTTCTAACCTTAGCTACCCGCCCTGCATGAGACTTCAACTCAGGCTTCTACCTGGGGAGGTAAGTTGCTTGACTTGCTCCTACGTCTTGTCTGGAGTCAGTAAGCACAGTAAGCTAGCAGCAGGAAGGTGAAGAGATAGAGAGAGAAAGGAAGGTACTGTGTAAAGTAAGGCAAGGTACCTTATGTCAGGGTTGGCTCTGATGATGCAAGTCTGGCGACGCTACAATTAGTTTATCAGGTATGAGGTCAGGTAGACACGTCTAGACCTCGATTAGTGGGTATTCCAGCCGCCTGTCTCCCGGTTGTCATTGCCCGAGCCTCCAGTTTTATTTCCTTCTTTTCCCCCTCTGCATCCTTTGCATCCGCCAAACCTCAGCTGCCCGTGTGTGACTGACAAGAAGATCCAATCCATACCTACACAGTGAGAACCAATCCAAGCCATCCCAGTGCATCGGGTCGTTGCGACTGTTCATGTCAAAGGCAGGCAGCATATCTCCCTCCATCCCCGGGCTGGCGCGTCTTCCATCCATCCTGCCATCCCCTCCCCTCTTACCTTACGGATTCGATACTTCCTTCATCCTGTTTCTTGTTCGTTACCGGTCCGAACAGTCGCAGTCAAAAAAAAAAACCCCCCCCCAGTCTGCTACACCCCGCCGCCCGTCGTCGTCGCCGCCTCCTCTCTCTCACAAATTCGCAAGACGCACATTCGCCGACGCACATAACAATAAGGTGGCATTCCCGGACGAGGGCCCTGCAGGAAAAGACGAAAGAGCGGCCCAATCCCGCCGCCGTATCCTCGCTTGACCCTGTCTTTTTTAGAAACCCTGGCTCCTGGCTCCCCTCCCCCTCCATCGTCACCCCTCCATTGACCCTCCCGCGCTTCTGCTACTGCTTGGACAATAACGGACGGCAACCGCTCGCATCCTGAACCGCGCTGCCAGGTACCTTTGGGAGCAGGCAGCCCTCCACAACAGCGACAGCTCCCGCAACTTACAAGAGATTCCAGGGCAGCAGCGGCATTCGCTTCGCTGGTTCAAGGCTCCAAAGCCTACTATTCGCTTGTCTCGCCTGCTTATCCGTACCTAAAGGTAACTCAGTATACTCCTGTCCTGTCCTGTCCTGTCCTGTCCTGTCCGCTGTCGTCAAGGCCCGACTCTAGCAAAGGGTTCGTACCAAGAGGCCCCCCCAAGCCCCCATCTTCCCAACCAAAATTGCACTAGAGATCAGTTCCAGATTCGCCCTTTTCCTCTTTGAGATACCAAGAGGGGACCATCTCCTCCACCACCACCACCATCACCCCTCCTGCTCCTTCTCTCTTTCTCTCTTTTGGCCCTGCCGCCCTGGTCCACGCCCTGCCTGCCCCCAGCCGTCACGCCTTCCGCTTTTAATCGCTGTCCTTAGGCCATCATCACCTTCCCAGTCTTGCCCTGCTCTACTACACTACCTGACTACTTACTTAGCTCATCTTACCTTGCCTTGCCGCATCTCCTGGAGCTCAGGTACCTTGGCTGTACTTTACCTCAACTCACCTCACCTCATCTCACCTTACTTCCCCCAACTCCCGATTACATGTCATCCGTTTCTGACCTTTTATACATCAGCCAGCACTCGACGGGTGTTACTCCGGTCCGTCTTCACCTTCGGTCGCTTCACTTCGACTCGTCCTTACCGACGGCATTGAAGGCACGAGAGCCCACCCATCAGATCAGCCGCCGGCTTCACCTCACGGCATCCTACAATTCGCCGGGTCTCATCCTCCGTTGTCTCATCCAACCGAACCCGCGGCTTCGACTTTGAATACTTCGCAGCTTCATTTCAACTTTTCTCTTCCTTTTCCCGGCCTTATTCTACGCCGGTGTAAAAGAAAGAAAAGACGAAGGAATTCTTCTTTGAGTCTTCTCTCCGTCTTTCGTCGCGAGGTGACTGTCTCCTCTGACGCTTGACTCTGTCACCGGTAAGTACGGTTCGTCTCCTTTCCTTACCTAAGGCAAGGTACCTACCCATTTTACCTTGAAGGTCGAGGTACCTGAAGCCGGGTACTTTGCAGTCACCAGCACCGCAGCGCAACCCCACCACGCGCGGTCTTCCCCTCCAACAAAAAAAAAAAAGCCCACCTACCCACATCCACTTACTGCATCCCCCGCCGAAAAATTATTAGACACCTCGGAAGCCCTACCTGCTTCGTTGCCTGCCTCTTTTACACCACCTACCAACCAGCTCTTCCCGGCGCCCTATTATATGCGCTCTCAACCATAATCGGACCCGATAGCTTACCCTTTCTCATTCTAGTCTGGAAAACACTTCGTCGTCGTCCCCTCAGACCGCAGTCTCCATACCTCTTTGTAAGTTATTTGTCTTGTGTGTGTCCGATTCTGCTGCCCACGAACACCAACCCCTTCCTACCTCCTCTATCCCCAATATCCACCCTGAGCTGCATACTCCCTCTGGTTGCGGTATATCTCCCCTTCACCATCATCACACCTGCAGCACCGCACTGCTGGCGCTGGCAGCGGAAGCACCAACGGCGGCAACGGTACGCACTGGCAGCTTGGCCACTCTCCTCCTCATCCTTACACAGGGCATCCAGATTCTAGCCTATCCCCAAGAACCGGGCGCAAAGAATCCGAAGCCTTTGTTCCACAGTCCACACACACTCCATCATACATCGTGGGATCCACCGCCGCCTGACTGAACATTTGCGTTGCTGTCTTGTGTTGGCTCGTTGTCTTCTAACCAAAATCTTCGCTTCGTTAGCCTCTTTCTCCTCTCTTCCTGTGCCTACCTGCTGTCGCCAATCACACACAGTCCTCTCATCTAGAGCGCCCTTGGCCGATACTACTTCAAACCACGCCTTTATCCGCCCTGTTTTCACGCCCACTTACGCTACATAAACACACAACAACTCTTAACGAACCGCATACTCAACTGCCAAAATGCCTGCTTCAGAAGACAAGGTATGTCATCGAGTTTCACTCCCGTGTGATGCTTTTGTGATGATGTGTTTTGGGCCACAAGGGCTGGGCTAACGTGGGGTGTTTGCACACAGAGCGACGATGGTCCCCTCAGTACCCCCGACTTTGGCGATGCGATTGACTCAGTCACCTTCGGTCAGATCCTGGAGATGGATGAGGACGAGAATGATCGCGACTTCAGCCAGTCAATCGTTTTTGGTTTCTTCGAGCAAGCAGAAGAGACCTTTGAGCAGATGGACGACGCCTTGTGAGTCGCATCATCAACATCATCATCATCACCATCATCACCATCATCATCATTGCCCCCACTCCTCCATGCTGGCGCCCCTCTCCGCCCTCCTCTCCTGCCCTCTTTTCCCCCCTACCCCTGAAGTACCCTCAACAGCAGATATGAACTCTTTCGCTGGTTGTCCTGCGCAGATTTCGATTGCACTAGCTGTGGACAAGGCTGACTTTGGTTTCTTACTCAAATCTACAGAAAGGAGAAGGACCTCGAGAACCTGTCGTCGCTCGGTCACTTCCTCAAAGGCTCTTCAGCCACGTTGGGACTCGTCAAGGTTAGAGACAGTTGCGAAAAGATCCAACGTTACGGCAAGAAGGAGAATGAGGATGGAACCCCAGAGCTTGACGAGGCGCTGTGCTTGAAGCGAATTGAGGGGACGCTCAAGGACCTCAAGAAGGAGTACGAGGACGCTGAGAAGCTTCTGAAGAAGTTCTTCGGCACCGAAGAAGAAGAAGAAGAAGAAGAAGAAGAAGAAGACTAAAAGCCGCCACAGATGACTTCTGGTCAACGCCGCCGCTCCGTGTCTTAGCACCAGTCGTTCTGTCGCCCAGCATTAGAAACGATGGCTGTGACGACAAGAAGGAAGTGGACCACGACGGAGGATGCTCTACACCCATCGAGGGCTGCGCGGCTCTCCCAATACCTTGGCCCTTTGACACTTTGCTTACGAACCCATTTCTCCTCATACCCCCTTCTCTACACTTACGAATTTGATTCACGAAGAAAAACTGGCATTTTGGCATGGTGACCTGGATTGGCTTTGCATGGGAGACCCTTTTTTTGTTTGCAAAGGGGAAAGCCGAGTTGAATAGCTGGATGGCCGAGGCAGTCAACCGACTGAGACGACGGAAAGGTTCTGAAGGCTCGTGCCATGGGCTCCCCCATTTACGCCTGCCATAGTCCTAAATCAACAGCATGCTCTCACGGTCTTTACCACCTACACTGGGTAGACGGACAATAGCATTGTCTGCGTTCGTTCATAACAAGGCACTACCGAAACTTCTTGGCGGTACAGAGCCATCAATCCCACGCGAGTAACGGCAACGAAAGCCGCTCTGTGAATTAAATCTTCTAGTTCCTTGGAGACAATATTCCTCTCATCAATTCGAGCAAGATTCTACTTGCACACTCTTGACGGATGGACGGTGTCAGATCTGTAGCACTTCTTTCCAATCCCCGGGGCGGTAGTTTGTGTTCCGGGGATAGCAGACGGGCTGACAAGCAGGATTCCATCCTCGGTGCGGGCAGCGGGGAACCCATCAAAATTCTACCCGAGCGTCCCCTTTCAGCCTTGACCGACTGACATCATTGCGAGGAGTGACGAAGCCCGGGCCTAGAGATCGACAAATTGACGCCATAGCTCGAATCCGGTACGTCTGCATCTTCTTCTTGTGGCACTGGGGGAGCATCCTGACCCGCGAGCCCTGTGGCGGTGCGGTATCTGCTGGAAATGCATCCCACATGCTGCGCTCCAAATCTTCCCGCTATCATGCCCATCTCACCAATATCGCGATATCACATCGACGATGGATCGCATTTGCTCTATTGCCATGCGAGTAATGGATATTTGACAGGGCTTTATTCTTGTACCGTTTCTCGGGCCGGCCCGACAGGACCACGTTGTTTGAATGCTTGTTGACTCCGTTCGCGGCGCCATTCGGGAACTAGGCTCTGACGTACTTTATAGATTCAACCGGCTCACCGGAACGCCTACAAGCTTCCTGAATACAATTTCTCACTGCAAGTCTGTCTGGTCTTCGCAAGTGGCGAAGTCTACCGGATCTGGAAGACCACATTAGACCACAAGCAACGGAGCATCAAGACTTCATCGACTTGCCCCCCCTTTCTTCGAACCAGCCACCATGCCCCCTCGTCCCAACGCCAGGCCTTCGCCTACACACTTCCTGTGCATACCTTTAGTCACCTCGGCCTCAAGACCTCAGCTATCGAAGAGCCTGGCTTCCTTCAAAGCAGATGTCACCAACCCAGACAGCTTTGCGGTTCAACCAGATGCCGTGCGGCCGCTCGGCACTCTGCACCTCACCCTTGGGATCATGAGTCTGGCCAAGGACGAGGGCATCAGCAAAGCAACCGAGGTCCTCAAGAGCCTGAAACCGCGGGATATCTTGGCCGGCATCACACCTCTGTCCTCCTCCACCCCGTTGGCCGGTAAAGCGCAGTCCACTAGCGCTCCCGAAACCGACTCGCCGCTCCGAATCACGCTCCGCGGCTTACATTGCATGAAGTCGGGCCCTCGAGCAGATCCCAGCAAGGCATCGGTTCTATACGCGCCACCCGAACAAGGCGAAGGTGTTTTCCAGACATTCTGCGAGAAAATCAGGGCTACGTTTGAAGAGGCCGGAGTCATTGGAAAGGATGACCGGGGCTTGTTGCTGCACGCCACCATTGTCAACACGATCTACGTCAAGGGCGGCTGGAGCAAGAAGGGCCCGAAGCTGACCATCGACGCGAGGGATATACTCGACCGATATGATGACTACATCTGGATGGAAGATGTGCCCCTAGAAAAGATCACCATCTGCCGCATGGGGGCCAAGAAGATTGAGGGGACGGATGACGAAGCATACGAGGTCGAGGCTGAGATCGACATTTAGTCATCCCGCAGCCTAGGCCTGTTGAAACAACTTATTCAGAAGTCTGCGAGTTTCAACGGTCCCTAGAGCATAGGATGTCCCTCCTCAGAGCAGACCATGCGGATATGTTTGTGGACGATTGTGACAGCAATCTTAAGACAACGATGTTGAAGGTATCAATAATGATGAGTGATCCATTGCCAAAGACCATTGCACGTAGGAACTTGATAATAGTATAGACAAGTCTGAGAGAGTCACATGATATTGTTTGTTTGTATGTTGGAAGGCCTACAGCCAGGCATTCAAATAGCCATATCTACCAAACGCCCCAGAACCAAAGCTATGTTCTGATATAAAAGCGCACACCACGCCTCAGGACTCCCTGGCAGCCGAAGAAGCACCGTAAAGCATTACACCGCAACGCACAGCCCCCACGGTTCAGCCCCGAGCGCGGCCACAAGCGCCGGGCCGCTAAAAAAAATACCGCTCCGGCGGGGAACTATGGGACCCCACTCTCCCCCAATGACAGAAGGGACCCTCGCCGGCCCCTAATGTCGACCTAACATCCTGGAAGGACCGACTTGTGACGACGTCCCCGACCCAGCTCGCACGGGAAGGCTACCTTAATTGCCCCGCCTCACCTTACCTCAGGCTACCTCTGTTTGACGACACCCGATCAAACAGCTCCTCAGAAGCTTCGATTTTCGCGCATGCGTTTGCCTCCCGCCTACAGGCCAAGGACTCGGGACCAGGCAGCCGACGAACGCCACTTAGTACTTCTCTCGCCAACCCACCCCCCTTCCGAAGCTGCGTAGGCACACCAAGACCTGTCATCAACGAGGGGAAAGGTCAGCTTTGGCGGAAAAACAAGGGGAGAGGAGCAGGTCGGAACATAAAGACAGCCCGACAGATCTCCCCTTCATCGCGAGCGGGTTAGAAGAATAAGCGAACACCTGCCACGCCCCAAACTCATCGTCTTACCTCCCCATCATGCAGTACCAAGCCAGCCGCATGCTCCTCCCCCGCCGTCCCCATGACGAAAGATAAAAAGCTCGGTCGGATGTCCACGACACCGGCGGAGAAGCGCCGCTCCTTCATCCCAGGCGGCAGCAGCAGTAGCAACAGCAAGGAATATACCAGCAGCGGCAGCGCCTCGAATAGCAACGCCGCCGGCGGACCCTCCTCGTCCTCATCCAAACCGCCGTCCTCATCGTCGTCACAGCACGTTGGCGGGTCGTCGTCAAACGCCCATCATGTCCTGCACACCTCGAACCCGCGCACCAACGCCGCGAACATCATTGCCCCGCCTCCCCGCGCCCACCACGCACCCGCGAACTCCTCCTCTGCGAGTCCAAACCCCGAGGACGGTGTCGCGGCGGCCACGGCGTCGAGTAGCAGCAAAGATGCAAAGGACAAGGAATCAAGACACAAGGAGGCCGCTGGTGGTAACAGCAATAGCAACGCTGCCAACGCCGCAACCTCCACCGGGCACGGCCACGGCGGGGCCACCTCCTCCTCGGCCCAAATCAAAGACAAGGATGCGCGCATAGCGCACCTGGAGCGCGAGCTCGAGATCATGGAACGCGAGTTCACCCGCGAGCTCGACAAGCTCTCCGCAAACGAGAGCGAGACGGCCGTCTTCTGGCAGGCGAAGCACAGCGACGTCAACCAGCAGTTCCTCCGTGCCGACGCCGACCTGCGGCTTCTCCGACAAGAATCCGAGGCCCGCGACGCCGACCGCGATACTTTACGCCGCGAGGTCGGCGAGCTGAGGGTGCAGGTGCGCGGGCTCAAGGAGTTTGTGAGCACGAGCACGCGGACGAGCGGGCAGACTTCTGACGAAGTGTTCTGTGACGGGATGGCGAGGTTGAGTAACGGGTTGCAGAATTGGGTTATTGTCAACTTTCGGAGGGCAAAGTTGGGTACGTTTTCTCCCTTGACATCTCTTCCGCGAATACACTTTGGACGAACCCCCGGAATACCCGCTAGAGAAGACAGAGTGTGATATAAACTGACAAAACATGCTAGACTTTGCTGCAGCAAGCGACGACGTGCTCGAGGAGCTCGGCCAGCTGGTACCTATGTACGCTGACCTCGAGCCCTCGGCAAAAGTGCACATGCTGCAGTCCGTCGTCTCGCGCGTGCTTGTCGAGACAATCTTCGACTCGTACTTCTTCGGCCTCCCCAAGGAGCAGGCTGAGCAGCTCAAGGCCGTGGAGCAGACTCTCTCAGGCTATGGTGAGCAATACTCTTCCTATCTTATTTTTCTCCCTTACCCCGTACCCCCTTGTTCTTGGGAGCAAAAGAGAGAAAAGAAAACGGAAAACGTTCAGCTACCAACACCCCCAAACAGTCAACTCCCCAGAAGCAATCAACAACTGGCGCTCCACAACCCTCGCCCTCCTCCACCGCGAGGCGGACTCCAAAATGCAAGCCGAGACGTCAGCAGCAACAGATCGCGTCATCGCCCGCGTAAACCGCATCCTCGACGCTGTCACGGACGCGACCCCGGCCCCACCAGCCACGGGAGATACCGCCAACCCCCGCGACGCGGGTCTCCGCGCCCTAGTCGGCAGCGCAGCGGACCTTGCGCGGCAGCTCGCCGTGCAAAAGGCCGTCTTCAGGGTCCACATGCCCGAAATTCTCCCGCATCAGCAGACGAAATTCGACGCCGCCATCATGGAGGATATCGGCGGCGAGGACGAGGAGGCATTATCGCAGCGCGATATCGCGTGCGTCACGTTCCCCGGCATCATTAAGCGCGGGGACGAGAATGGAGGCCACATGCAGTATCAGAATGTCATTGCCAAGGCTAGGGTACTATGCAGTCCCGAATGAGACACATTCTGGTGCTTTTAACGATTCAACTCCTCTTGATTTCTTCCCGATACATTAACATCTGATACCCCCATATTCAACCCATAGAATACGGTCTCTTGATGATGCAGAACCACAATCAACCGTGGACGCAAGTGAGATTTGCACATTACCTCTTCCGCAGCATCAATTATCATTGCTTATCCCCCCTTCTTCAGCCACCGCCGGCGGCCCGTCCATGTGATGAGCCTGCAGACGGCAACAGGGGCGGGAAGACGAACCAACCCTTTCCCCATCCTCTTCCCGCGCGGCGCGGGTGGGAAGGCTCAACTGAGCCTTGCCATGACCGCTCTGTAAGTTGGTCCCATCACGGCCGTCATGAAAGCTTAACAGCATGCTCTCATGAAGAACTACCGACGAAGAGGATTGGATATTGAACTCGGCGACGCCGTGAAAGTCGCGACGTCGGCCAATCGCAGAGACAGCGAGCGTACACTGCAATCCCCCATGTTTACTTAGTACCCTCCCCCTTTAAGACATGCAGCCCTCTGCAGCTTGGTCGGCCGGGGTGTGTGAAAAGAGCGGGGTTCGGTCTCTCTCTCTCTTCTTGCCCCCATCCCTCCCTCCTACGGATACGGAATCTGTCAGGTCAACCTGCGGAGCCAACTTGACCCTTCCGAACAAAAAAGACAAGGTTTGGGCGGGCAGAAGGGCAGGAGATGAGGCTCTGCGAGCTATTGGGGCAAGATCTTCTCCGGGTCAAGTGGATTCCCCTCTTCCTCCAGCACGATTCGATACTCAACGCACTCGTGCTGTACAGCAAATCCTCGCCCTTGGTTTCCATGTGTCATGCCGCAACACACTGCATTATCGAGATTCCGCCCCCAATGGAAGGTTGACTACATATCGATGCCGGCCCACGGGAATGGCTGTAGCACGGCTCTCAACGCAACAGCGTAGTTTGCAACTCGAGGATAGCTGCTTCGGCGCTGTTGTATCTGCAAAAAAATAAAAGTCAACTTGCCCCTTTTTTCGAGTATTTTGCTAGTCCTCCTGATGAGGGACAGGACTCGTTCGCAGTGCAGGCAACTCCCGGCAATTCCGCCGTGTCACTGCAGCACGCTGTACAGCACCCGCTTGATTTGGCAACCTTGTCTGCGAAAGCTTCCCCGCTCCCCTCTCGATTCCTAATGCCGCGGACGTACACGTGGACGGCTCACAGTGGGTGGTCATCGCCATTGTATCGGTGGAGAAAAGAAATGAAGAGACCGGATATTTGAGCTGTAGACGACATCGACGTGAACCGATCCCGTGCGACATTGCGCTGCAAGCCCAAGGGTCATTGCACTCAAAGATGTTGGTAGCCCTACGGAGCTGGAGCTGCCACAGACGCATATGATCGGGCACCACCTCTGGTCCAATGTTTCCGTTGAAACGATCGTCGATCTCCGGCACAGCGGAACACGACGTCGGAAACAGACTCCTTTTAGGATGAACCTCCTTGCGAGGGAAGGATGTCTACATTAATGCCACTCAGGAGTGAGGACATATGCTGACATGTTTCTTCTCTTGTCCGCCCGCCGGTTGGAGGGGCTGATACTGGTATTGGTGTGGAGAGCTGTATCTATCCGTCCCTGACGCGTGTGGGCTCGTGCCGCCGCCGGCCGTGGTTCGCATGGAGTCGTTGAGAGGGTGCCAGCCATACCCGGGCAACCGTGTGCATGTAAGAACACGATGATCGTATAAGATCTGACGCGTCCCCAATGCGCAGGGAATAAAGCAAAGAAGGTTAGCTCTCTTCATCCCATTGCTCACAGCTTCAACATACCTTCCCTACCTGAAGTGCCCGACTGTCCTTGTGCGGACACCGTATCTTTCCGCTCTTGCATTCCCGTCGTTGTTGGGTAGTACTGTCTATCCTTGAACAGTCGAAGTGCAGGTCACTGAGCTGCAGACTCACCTGCGACAACCAACCGCCCACTCAGTCGCCTCTGCTGTTAGCAGTACATCGTCTCCACCTACCCAAGCTGTCCGTCAGCTTTCTGCCTCTCTGCAGCGTCTATCGCTTTTCAACTTCGACTCCTCGATCTTGCTTTGCTATTCTTACATTTGCTGGAAACGATCGGCATATTCCCTTTTGCGACTTGCTTTCACTCTCTCAATTCGTCCATATATATCAAGTCGCTCCCCAGAGTCTTGTTGCA